AGACAAAACATTTGCAGACAAATTGCCAAACTTGGAGATCAGACCTACAGCCCAACTACTAACCCAAGCTACTAATATTCAAACATATGTTCTAAAATGTTGGGCTACTGATAGGGTAGCCTGTCAGCATGATTCAGAAATAATCATGGAAATAATGACATACAAGAAACCCACTGTGATATAAATTGCGGATGAGTTAGTTGCTGGTATTAATGATAACTGTTTTCTAAGTCAAGTCATTCCCACAAAATGTATACTCTCCTTAACATTTCTGCATATTAGTCCGATTTTATCCACTGTTAGTTATTTTTTATTGATAGAGCATTAATCCACATTTTCTTTGTTACTTGGATTTCAAAGATGAAATTTTGTGTCTGTTTCTATTAAGGAAGCTATTGCTATATAGACCTGGTTTAGCATTTTTAGAAATTTATTCCATGGTAACTTTTACTGCTTCAGGTTTAACATGTGTATATTTAAATGAATTATGTATGTACTCTTGATGTTTATATTACAACTAGTGTATGAGAGAAACAATCCTGAGACACTTTTATCATATTTATTTATTTATTTATTTTTAAAATTTATATGCCGCCCAATCCCTAGGGACTCAGGGTGGTGTACAAAATTAAAACAATAAATATAACAATAAAACAGTAAAATAAGTGCATTCATACAGCATGTCCCAATCGTATCCCGGCCCCCCCGGGGACATCAACCCCAGGCCTGCTGGAACAGGAGAGTTTTAATGGCTTTCTTAAAGGCCGGCAAGGTGGGAGCAGTTCGAATCTCGGGGGGAAGTTGATTCCACCAGGTCAGAGCCACCACAGAAAAGGCCCTTCCCCAAGGGCCCGCCAGCCGACATTGTCTGGCTGACGGGACCTGAAGGAGGCCCAATCTGTGGGACCTCACCGGTCTCTGGGAACTATGCGGCAGTATGCGGTCCTGTAAGTAACCTGGTCCTAAGCCATGAAGGGCTTTAAAGATGATAACCAACACCTTGAATTGCGTCCGAAGACCCACAGGAAGCCAGTGCAGCTCACGGAGGATAGGTGACACGTGGGTATACCTTGGTGCACCCACAATCACTCTCGCGGCTGCATTCTGAACCAACTTCAGCCTCCGAACGCTCTTCAAGGGTAGCCCCATGTAGAGCGCATTACAGTAATCCAGTCTTGAGGTGACAAGGGCATGAGTGACCATGAGTAGAGCCTCCCGGTCCAAATAAGGCCGCAACTGGTGCACCAGGCGAACCTGGGCAAAGGTCCCCCTGGCCACAGCCGATAGATGTTGTTCCAAATTTAGCTGTGAGTTCAGGAGGACACCCAAGTTGCATGCCTGCACTGAGGGAGGTAAATTTACCCCCCCAGGACTAATGATGGACCATCAGGATGACCCTTGGGGGACAAGACCCAGAGCCACTCGGTCTTATCAGGGTTGAGTCTAAGCCTGTTCACCCCTATCCAGATCCTCACCTCTTCCAGGCACCGGCACATCACGTCGACGGCTTCACTGAAAGGACACGGGGTGGAGATATACAATTGGGTATCATCCGCATACTGATGATACCTCACCCCGTGTCACCGAATGATCTCACCCAGCAGTTTCATGTATATGTTAAAAAGGAGGGGGGAACAGGACTGAGCCCTGAGGCACCCCATAATCGAGGCGCCTAGGGGTCGATCTCTGTCCGCCCGCCAACACCGACTGCGACCTGTCAGAGAGGTAGGAGGAGAACCACCGCAATACGGTGCCGCCCATCCCCACCTCTCTGAGACGATGCAGAAGGATACCATGGTCGATGGTATCGAAAGCCGCTGAGAGGTCAAGAAGCACCAAGATAGAGGAATGACCCCTATCCCGGGCTCGCCAGAGGTCATCGGTCAGTGCGACCAAAGCAGTCTCAGTGCTGTAGCCAGGCCTGAAACCAGATTGAAAAGGGTCCAGATAATTTGTTTCATCCAAGGATCGCAAGAGTTGGGACGCCACCACCTTCTCTACAACCTTCCCCACAAAAGGGAGGTTGGAGACAGGACGAAAGTTCTTCAAAAGAGCTGGGTCCAGGGAAGGCTTCTTGAGGAAGGGCCTCACCACCGCTTCCTTCAAAGGTTGCAGGAAAGACCCCTCCATCAAGAAGGCGTTGATTATCGCCTGGAGCCAGCCTCATGTCACCTCCCTACTGGCAGAAACCAGCCAGGAGGGGCACTGATCCAATAAGCAGGTGGCGGCATTCATTGCCCTCACGGCCTTGTCCACTTCATCAGGGGTCACAGGCTCAAACTCGCTCCAGATAACATCACTAAGACCAGCCCCCGGCATCTCGGCTGGCACTGCCCAGTCGGAGTCCAGGTCTCTCTGAATCTGAGCGATTTTGTCCGAGAGAAACTGAAAAAACTCCTCAGCTCTCCCCTGCAAGGGTTCCTCCGCTTCCTCCACTTTAAAAAGGGAGCGGGTCACCCTAAACAAGGCGGCCGGGCGAGATTCTGCGGACGCAATAAGTGCGGAAAAGTGAACACGCTTTGCCGCCCTTATCACCACTAAATAAGTCCTAAGATAGGCACTTAATAGTGATCGGTCAGATTCAGAGTTACTGGCCCTCCAACGTCACTCTAGACGTCTCTTGTGGTGCTTCATCTCCCGGAGCTCCTCAGTATACCAAGGTGCCCTCCGGGGACCACTACCACAGAGAGTTCGCAAAGGCGCAATTCGATCCAGGGCCCCGGATGCCGCCTCATTCCAGGCCGCAAGCAGGGACCCGGATGAGTTGTGGACAAGGGAGTCAGGTATTTCCCCAAGCTCCTCCTGGAACCGATCTGGGTCCATTAGGCGCCTGGGGCGGAACCACCTAATCGGCTCCACCTCCCTGTGGTGGGGGAGTGATGCTCTGAAGTCCAGCCTCAATAGGAAATGATCTGTCCATGACAAGGGAGAGGTCTCTATTCCCCTTAATTCCAGATCATGTCTCCATTGCCCCGAGAGAAACACAAGGTCGAGCGTGTGACCACCCCTATGAGTCAGATCCTGGATTACCTGGGTCAGGTCCATGGTTGCCATGGAAGCCATGAACTCTTGCGCTGCCTCTGAGTGTTCATCGAGTGATGGCAGGTTAAAGTCCCCCAGTACTATAAGTCTGGGGAACTCCACCGCCAACCCGGCTACTGACTCCAGCAGTGCAGGCAGGGCTGTTGCAACGCAGCTGGGAGGTAGGTACGTCAGCAACAAACCCAACTGAACCTGTGAACCCAACTTCAATAGGAGGGACTCACACCCAACAATCTCCGGGGCAGGAATCCCACGAGGACTCAGGGACCTCTGAGTGATGACTGCCACTCCCCCACCCCTGCCCTGATGTCGAGGCTGATGAAGCACCACAAACCCATCCGGGCACATCTCCGAGAGGGAAACACCCCCCTCAGGGCCCAGCCAGGTTTCGGTTATACATGCCAGGTTCGCCCCCCTGTCCAATATTAGATCACGGACAAGGGGGGCTTTGTTGACAATGGACCTGGCATTAAGCAACAGCAGCCTACAACTAGGGCCCTGTACTCCCCTGTCACCAGTACTACAGGATGGGCCTTTTGAGGGGCCGGAACAAGGAATCGCTCTAATATAGCGAGTCCTCGTTCCCCGAAAATGGCCTGTCCCTCGGCTCCCGCCATATCTGCCCATCCCAGTCATAACCGGGATGCTCCGACCTTCTCCCATCCCCAGAGTACCCCCACCCTCACCAACCTTCTCCCTTCCCAACCGGACTAGCATTCCATGCACACCAAGCCCAAGGGTAAGTCCTGCCCCCCCCCCCCGCTTTTGCTATTGCACTCAGCAGAGGGGGCACCAGGCTCTGCCCTGACTCTACCATTCTCCTACCACAGACACTCAATACACATTCACACTCAATTAATGTACATAAAAGATAATTCACATTCATACGCCCTAAATACAATAATAAAATTTATACCTAACAGGTATAGTAATATCTTCAGGAAGCTAGGCATCTATTTTTATACTTAGGTTTGAGAATCTTTATGTTGGCTATTGTTAATGCTTAATCTTCAGTATCTTCAGTTTAATTTTTTAAGTGTTGCAATGCAGCAACAAGGTTTCAGTATACTGAGTTTTTATTCTTCTTTCATCCAATGTTAAATTATTTTGGGTAAGACAACTTTTAACAAGTTTGTGATAAATGATATTTAATTGAAATTAAGTTTTCTAAACCAAGAAATCTATTACTTTTCTGATTAAATAACCTTGCACTTATTTAGATAATTTATTTTTATACTTTTCTTGGACACTCAAAATAAACTCATTTTACTTTCCAGCTGGTTTGGGTTTTTTTTTTTTTTTTTGCACCATCCAGCTGTGCCTAATAACCTGGTTAAAAAAATCTAAAGTTAATTAATCTACTTCCCAAAGAACAAACTATTTAACAAACAACAAGCTAACAAGTAGGAAGACAGAACTGTCTTGTAGTGCTACCTATTTTGTTTGGCTCCCATTGATTTAAATAGGCAGTGCCCTACCTTACACTAGTGCAGGGGTAGGCAACCTTGTCTCTTTTATGACTCGAGGACTTCAACTCCCAGAATTCCTGAGCCAGCCATGCTGAGGGGAAAGGGAGAGGTTTCCAAGCTGAGCCATGCTGTTGACAATAAAATGAGCTGTGTGTATGGTGGACGGGATTAATAGTGAATTAAATATAACTAATTGATCTAGCATCTAGGCTGGATATTTAATTTACTTTATACAGAAATCAGTTATAAATAAATTTTAAAAGTTAACAATTTAATTTTAAAGGTTAACAAAAAGTTAAAAGTTATAAAAGTTATAAATTGGACATATATATATATATATGAGAAATGGTACAGGGTCTCCTGCTTGAGCCGGGTTGGATTAGAAGACCTCCACGCTCCCTTCAACTCAGTTATTCTGTTAAATAGAATTTAAAAAGGAAATGTGATACTCAAAGAAAACTAATATATTTCCTCATTGTCCTTGTTTAGGTCATGGAACCAAAGGTGTATTTGAGCTTCTGTCGGGATGGCGTCGAACCAGAGAAAATTTGCCATTTAAAGACAGGGTTGCAGATGCCTATTCAGATGTAATGGTTTCCTATACCATGACAAGCTCCTTGTACTTCATAGCCTTTGGCATGGGTGCCAGCCCTTTCACCAACATGGAGGCTGTGAAAGTCTTCTGCCAGAACATGTGCATCTCCATCCTGTTGAATTACTTCTATATCTTCTCTTTCTTTGGCTCCTGCCTGGTGTTTGCTGGGCAGCTGGAGCAGAATCGTTACCACAGTATCTTCTGTTGTAAAATCCCCTCTGCAGAGTATCTGGAAAGGAAACCCGTTTGGTTCCAAACCATGATGAGTGATGGGCACCAGCAGTCTTCTCATCATGAGACTGACCCATACCAGAACCACTTTATCCAGCATTTTGTAAGGGAGCATTACAATGAATGGATTACTAATATCTATGTTAAGCCATTTGTGGTGATACTGTATCTCATTTATGCTTCTTTCTCCTTTATGGGCTGTCTGCAAATCAGTGATGGTGTCAATATTATCAATTTGCTTTCTAGTGATTCTCCGAGTGTGTCCTATGCTGTTATTCAACAGAAGTACTTCAGCAATTATAGCCCAGTGATAGGATTTTATATCTATGAACCTCTTGAGTACTGGAATGGCACTGTCCAAGATGACCTAAAGAAACTGACTGAAGGCTTCAACACACTGTCCTGGCTTCAACAATATTACCAGTATCTGAGAGTTGGGAATATTAGTGCAACCAATAAAAGTGACTTCCTTAGCATCCTCCAAAACTCCTTTTTAAGAAAGTCTGAGTTTCAGCACTTTAAAAACGATATCATTTTCTCCAAGTCTGGGAATGGGAATAACATTATTGCTTCCCGCATGTATCTTGTAGCTAGGACTAGTGAAAAAACACAAAGCGAAGTTATAGAATTATTGGACAAACTCAGACCATTGTCCCTGAAACAGAGCATCAAGTTCATTGTCTTTAATCCTACTTTTGTCTTTATGGACCAGTATAGCCTGTCAATAATTATGCCTGTCTTGATCTCAAGTTTTGGCATCTTGCTGGTCCTGTTACTTACATTCTTCCTTGTTATTCACCCTCTGGGGAACTTCTGGTTAATTCTCACTGTCACCTCAATAGAGTTAGGTGTCCTGGGCTTGATGACTTTATGGAATGTAGACATGGATTGCATTTCTATATTGTGCCTTATTTACACTTTGAATTTTTCCATAGATCACTGTGCACCCTTGCTTTACACATTTGTACTAGCAACTGAGCATACCAGAACTCAGTGTATAAAAAATTCACTCCAAGAACACGGGACAGCAATTTTGCAAAATGTTACATCTTTTCTTATTGGGTTGGTTCCCCTCCTTTTTGTGCCTTCAAACTTGACCTTCACACTGTTTAAATGCTTGCTGCTCACTGGCAGTTGCACACTTCTGCACTGTTTTGTTATTTTACCTGTCTTCCTAACATTCTTTCCACCATCCAAAAAACACCACAAGAAAAAGAAACGAGCCAAACGGAAGGAGCGAGAAGAAATTGAATGTATAGAAATTCAAGAAAATCCTGACCATGTGACAGCAGTTTGAAAGTCAAATAAAAATATGTGGGTTTTTTAGTACTGAAAATAATGTTACACGGAGCTGCAAGGAAAGTAAAGATCTCCACTGCTTGTGCTGGCCCCTGTGAAGCAAGACAAAGGAAGCCCAAGGAAGGAGCATATATGATCCATGGAGGTGGACATGTTGTTAAAGTAATAACCATTTTTTAAAAAAGAAAAGAAATAAGAGAGGGGGTAAAAATTCCTCCAAAAAGTTTCTCCTTTTAATCCTATGACTTCACCGAGGGGGATGCTTATTAGCAGTTTTAGCAAAAAAAGATGGCCTTTTACAAATGAAAGTATTAAGATTGTCCTAAGTTACTGATTTTAATAGGCCACATAGTTTTGAAACAGGAAGAAAAGAAAAAGTTTTAGGAAAACATAGGTATGGCCATGATAGTGATCATATATTTTAAAAATTGGCCCAAATGAAACCTATGCAATTGGGAAGTAGATATTCGTTCCATCTGAAGCCAAAGTACTTCCTTATTTTCATATATCTTTATCTGTCTGCAAGTCACAGATGAAAATTATTTTACTACTTCTGAGAGTCAATATATCCTCTCCTAAAATATAAGTTCTTTATGAACAATATGGGAAAGAAATTATTTAAAGAAAGTTAGCTTCTACAGAGGTGGCATTTGACTATGCTCCCTTTTATGAATAGAAGGTCCCTCAGAACTACAGTAAGTAAAGTCACAGCAGACTCTCCTTGAATTCTGTCAAGCATCCCAGGGCTGAAATACTGCAGTGCTACCTATAATTACTGCAGTGCTGTCCTTTTGCTTTCTACACATACTCTGTACCAACATTAGGCACAGCATACTAATCAGACCAATGTGTCAGCTATAATGATAGATCACATCCATTGTGCCTGGATCACTCTGGATACATAGCAATGTAAGCATCACTGAGGAGGCTCAGTGTGATGTGATGCAAGATTTTCCTTTGAAATATTTTCCATATGATAAGTATTTCAAATCTCCTTTGGCAAGCCAATAAGTTGACTATGTCTTTTGCCACAAGAAATTGAGAAAACATACATGTTGTAGTGAGAGATAACAAACACAAGAGATGAGGCTACTTGGGAAATGGTTCTTTATAAAACATTACTATTAAATATCCGATAGAATAGCTATGATAAAATAAAGCTTTGTGGCTGTTGAGAATTATAGATGAAAGCAGTAAATGTGTCTCTTACTGCATGACTTTAGAATTAAACTATAACAAAATGATACTACCTGTTCTACGAGTAATGTCTCTGCTTAGAACTACAAGTGCAAGAGAAGGAATGGAAAAAGAATGAACCAAAAAAATATAGATTGGATGAAATTTTACTCTGAATTAAGCCACGTATTTCTCTCCCAAATGCATTTTGGAAAGGGCTTGCTTCATGCATTGTTGCCTTGCATAAATGAGCAATGTCTTCCTGAAGAAAAAATATATTTTGTATATTATTACCACTGTTGACAACCAATGTCAAGGGGAGGGATGGAAATTGCTAATTCTTTTCAAAAGAAGCCGATTCATTTAACAGACTCTAATCTTCTATACTGTACCAGTTGGCTGTGCATTGAAGATTTATGGATTTATACAGAGCTACAGCTACTATATCTGGGCTGCAAATATCTGGACAATCATTAGATGGAAACAGAGAAAACTCTTTTTGCCGCCTCACCTTCCTCCTCACCTTAGTTCCCCTCACCTTCCCCAATTGGCATGTAAATGACTAGCAATGAGTAAACTGTAAGCAATACCACGGAAAGGAAAGAATGGATAAATGTGAGGGGTGCTCATAATCCTCCCGCTGAAAATGTAATGTCCATTTGCCCATTCCTAAGTCAGGGAGGGAAGAGGCTTTCACAGAACTCAGTGCTGGCCCTTCTTCCACACTCTATGTTCTTTCTTGTACTTGGTGAACTGTTTCGAGGTATTAATGCTGTAAAGAAATTCTGATTTGCTAATTATTTGACCTAAAGCCATATTCTCCAGTAATATGTAATGCCATAGTGAATCAAAGCCAAACCATTTGAATTATTTCTGTAGTTGTGCCATCGTTAAGATAAACCTAGAAATATTGAAGATTTTAATCTGGGATATTCTATATAGAAAGTATATGCTATGTTACAAAGTAATTGTTCTTCTCTCTAATGTGTTTTGGGGAACTAAACATGTAACTGGATTTAAATCCCCATGAATCCATTACCTGCCATAAGAATTTTGTCCTTACAATATTCCATTGTAAGACAATCATTATTGATGACAATTTCTATTTGGTCACATAGAAGATACAATTGGAATGTAAAAAATATAGTATGAGCACATTGGCATACTTCTAGAAGACATTTTCCAAAATGGCTGCCAGACAGCCTTTTATAACATCACCCTCATGAACATATGTCACATTCATAAAATACGGGTCATGCTACAATATAGGTTTTTGTATATAATGAAACAAATGATAACATTCCCAAAGTTTTATCTGTTTGCATCCTGAAATTAAACAATACTTAGAAAATAAATACAAAATAAAAAAATACTAATATTTTTCCCAGCAAATTCACAAATGAGTTTATGATGCACTCTATAGGATTACAAATATGTATAACTCATATACAATTACATTATTAAGCCTTTGGCTTTCCAAGATGGAATTCTTGTAAGGTACACTATTCCTCAAATCAGGCACTTAGTTGAGTATAAGAAGCAACATGACGATATTTTGTCAGCCTAAAACCTATTCTGATTGATCAGCATACATTAAACAGAGGACGATTTGCTTTGCCTAAAAGTTAACAGGTACCAAACCTGTGTTGCATCAAAGGACAACGGGTTGAAATGATGACTGTATCATCATGAATTAGATTTTGGACAGTCAATCTACATACCAGTGTTCCAACAATATATGTTGTACTGTATCTTATGTTCCTTATCTAATTTTATGCCTAACCTCTTTTGTCATATCCTAGTCTGTATTTTCTTTCTGCTGTGATTTTTTTGCCTTTTAAAAATGTTATTTTAAGTCATCTAGAAAAAAATGAGATGGCTTAACTCTTGTGACAGATAACTTTTAAAGCAATCAAGATTCTGCAGCACTGTATAAAAAGATATTCCTGTGTGGGGGGGGGGGAAATTAAGAAGCTTTTGTCATATTTAACAGTAGATCTATAGATTACAGAATGCTAATCCTAGCTGGAGAAACCCAAGAAATGGCTACATTTTGATCAGGGACAAACATGTTCTCCATACAATTAGGTATTCAATGAAGGAAAGCAGTTCTACATAGTATTAGCCACAGTATGATGTAATCTTGTTATAGTTTGTGAACTAAATCATAACTTCCAAGAATGCTTGAATAACTGTGAAAAGAAATAAAAAAGACATGCTCATTAAAATACATTTCCTGATCTTCAACTGATACGGAATTCCTTGCTGCTAGAAAACAGTTGGAATAGTTCCTTCTAACAATGCAGATGTTATTACAGTATATAGTAAAACCAAGAACTTTTCAATGCAATTCCTCCTGACATGAAAATGAATTAAAGGGAGTGCAGCTGCCTATAAAATGTTTTGACAAGTCATAGTTGCTGAAGAAATATGAGAAAAGAAAGGAGATCCAGCAGCATTAAAGTGCTTAGATTTTATGAAAAGTGGCACAGCAGATTATATTAAATTCTAAAATGGCAGGCTCATCAACAAAACGAAGCATGAAGCTCTCACCCATTCAAGAAATTGAAATTGCCTCTTTCAGGTCATATATTTCTTCCATCACACAATGAGCTTGATTAGAAGATTTCAAACAAGAATAATTGACATTGCAATAAGAGGGGATTCTGTTGCAGACATTCTTAATATGATATATTGCCATTCAACTAGCAATTGATTGCTGATTTATTTGTAATGACTTAAAATCCTTTCTGTGAGAACTATTTCCTTGCACGTATGCCTCTACTTCCAATATACATTGTTGATTGCCCAAACTAGGAGACTAAAGGGCAGATATGCCTTCCACATTTAAAACTTTCGAAGTGTATGGCAGAATTATACTCAGATTTGAGCAGACTTCATTTTTAGAGATACACTAAAAAATTCATCAAGAACATGAAAGACGAAGACTTTATCTAATTCCTTACATTTAATGACCTTTGAATGTGATACCACCATTCCTGTGTAGTTTCAGATATTTTGAAGATAAATGTGGTTTGGAGACTAATACTAATTTTGACAAGATGAAAAAATAATAATATTCTACCCCTAAATGGGAAGGATGTCAGCTGAAATGAATAACAATAAAAACTAAACTACAAATGTTTATTTAGCATTGGGGGAAGAGTAGGTGGATGCAGCTGAAGTGTGAAAGAATACAAAGGGAAGTGTTGTAGAAGCTAACATGAGGAATTAAAGCAAAGGTTTGCCGTGTGTGTCTAGGACTCCATCTGCCAGGAATGTGGTTCAGGGATATGATAGAACAATTCCCAATATGCATCAAGTCAATTGGAAATTATCCCACAAGTGAAAGCAAAAGATACATAGAGGTTGTCTAAAATACATCACTGTAGAATTAGGAAAGTAGCTTCGGAAACTGGAAACTCATGTGGTCTCATTGATCTTTCACTCAGAATAGGGCCAAAAAGAGGACGAACATTATGAATGAATGACTGGCCACATAAATGCTGTAGACAGGAGAGATAAAAAAGACTTTTGAATGAGGGGTTGTTGTTTTTTTGTAAACAAAGCAACATACTTCAAAAGCTTCAATTTCCAACAATATAGGCCCCACAATAAATTCTCTTATATATTGCTTACTTGTGTTATGATACTATACAACCCTGCTGGATGGAATTTTTCAGTTGGCTCAGTCATGCATTCCTAAATATGAATCCATGCACCCACAAAAATCCTATTGTGTTTTTCCCATTCAATTGCTTAAAATTTGTGACTAGATAGATGTACGTGTGGTAGAATAGATGTCAGTTGTTCAATGTTGCATGTGCATAGATTGCAGATGACTGTAAGTTACATGTTTTGAATGATTTGCAGTTACATAATAACTTTAACAATGATTTTTGCATGCTTTGTGTGTTTTGTTTTTGCATTTCCTAATAAACAAATATTGTAGTATTTTTAAAAATGATGCCTTGTTTTATATTACCAAAAAGCCAACAGACTTTTTAAAAATATTATCAGTGGTTTTGTTTTACCTCTAAACTGTAGTTTAATATATGCTGTAAGGGTACAAATGTCTTGGTTTATGAGATACATACTATAAGAGAATGGTCAGCTACGATTTCCAAAAATGATGTTCATAGACTTATGTCAAACTGCTCATGTCTATTCATTTTTTTCCATTCCGTAATGTGTCCTTTAAGACCAAGTATAACCACTGTGTGTCATAAGCTTCTTATAAAACTGTATTACAGGGGCAGAACTAGGTTAACACTCATCTGCAATGATATTCATATTCAAATAAAAAATTTAATTTAGAGGAGGGTTTGGTTGATTTGTATCTGAAATTTTTTTGTAGTATTTTAAGTCTTACAAATCGCTATATCTTGCAGATCAGTCTTCCGTTTGACCTTATGGTCATGTTAAGAGAAACATTAAATCTTCAAATCTTAAGTAGAACTATTGTTGTTAATGTTTTGCATGCTAAAGTTAGGGTTTAAAAAAAAGGTTTTTGTGATGCACCCAAACTTAAAATATCATATATTCATTAAAGAACTCTCTGGTTTTGCTTTCTCAATAAAATTAGCATCTTGGGACTTGAAGAAAATTTTTATTGAACCAGTAACAGGGAAGAAAAGAGTTCATTTCCTTTCTTTATATCTTACTGTCCTGATTTTGGCTTTTTTTAAAAAAGTTTTTTATTTATAATACAGTTAAAACAAAAATGGACATAACGTAACATTCCAGTATACGTATTTCTAACAATTTCTTCATACATATATATACATACATATAGTTCTTAATCTCTATATATACATACATATTTTTCTATACAATACAATATCTAATTAATTTTTCTATATACTAACATACAATTTTTGTTTTCTGAGGTTTTCGCGGGTGTTTGTATGTAGGTCTTTGATTATTCGGGTTTTCTCCCGCGTAACATTTTACGCGGGAGAAAACCCGAATAACCAAAGACCTACATAACATACAATTATATATATTCCTATCTTAACACTAGCTTATAACCTGAACAGTCCCCCTTGATTCACACCAATAATAAAATTTGTCCCAGATTTCAAAATAATCTGACTCTGTCTTATCCTTCATTGCCATTGTGAGCCTGTCTATATCAGCACACGATAAAATTTTGTATAAGATCTCTTCTTCTGTTGGAGTTTCTTTATTCCTCCAGTTTTGTGCATACGCCAATCTAGCAGCTGTGAAAATGTATAACATCAGATAAAATATCCCTTTATCGTATTTCTGTGTAGTTATGCCTAATAGGAAGAGTTCTGGTTTTAGTTCTATCTCTATCATTAATATTTCTTCCAGCCATTTTTTTATCTTTTTCCAAAAATCACAAGCTTTTGAGCACTCCCACCACATGTGATAATAGGTCCCTATTGATTTTGGCTTTTTTCTTAATTTGTCAATGTCTGTGCAATTTAAAATGATGTGTTTGCTGCTACACCTAGTCTGGCCTTGAGTTCAGAGATATTTGGAATGAACCACAGTTATTGATTGGTCCATCAAAGATGTCTGAGCAAATGAAATAGACCTCCAGTTACTTGAGTGCATGCAATAATAGGTGTTTCTCAGTATATTCATGTTCAGCTAAGATATGTATATGCATGCTATTAACAAATATACATCAGGCAACTAGAAATTTAAGAAACTTAAGGAGGACAGAGTCTCAACAATGGGCTAGTGTTTCCAAACAAATTAAGTCTTTCCTGTAGGGGGGACATGGAAAAGAGAGAGAAGAAATGTTCCATCTTTGTATGAACCCCAAGAACTCAAACTAGGCACTTCCTAAAGATATAAAGGTAGTTTCTCATTTCTCAATCTTATCATTCAATCTATTTAAACTTAACTCTGTTGTAAAACCAGTTACAATGGTAAATTAAGCCAGTTTTAACTAAAAATAATTATTTAAAAATAATGACTAAATATATCAAAAACCAGGACATGTATTTTTGAGGTGAAAATACAATATGAAAGTTCTACTGAAATGTGATTCAATATTCTACTTTGGCAAATACATAAAAACAACAAGTGTTAATACAACAAGTGTATTAACAAAACATGTATTTTTTTTCACCTTCTGTGTAACAAAGAATCTAAAAGATAGTTGATAAATTCTACACTTATATGGACTCTAAGAAATTTACAGAATCTGACTGATGGTCTACCTATCCTCAGTTTTGTATACACTCATTGGCTGGCAGTCTTCAGTAACCCTAGTTGTAGTTGTCTAAGAAACTTTTTGTGCAAAGCAAATATACACTGTTGCCACAGAACATGCAATAATTCACATGTTTGGAAAATCATAGGTATTAATAGCTTCTTACCATAAATCTGGCATGCACATGAAAATAGCACTGTTATTGAATGTCAATAAATTAAGAAGTAACAGGCTTCTTCTACACTACACTATTTTCTACCAAGTGATTGCATTCCGCTTATGAGACAGGGATTGGGCATCATAATGTTCATTTCCTTCGGAATAGGTGTTTGTAGTAGACATCTTAGAAAAAAAAAACAGTTAAATAGAGCGAATTTCATCTTTTTTTTTATTACTGCATCATGTGATGGGATGATCAAATCATTGGAAATGACCTGCTAGAAGAGCTCTTACTATCAATATTGCCAATATGAATGCTTAAGGATATTATGTATGAGAGCTCAATTCAGTTTTATTGAAAGAAACTAAATATTGCAACAGAATCTCAAAATTAACATATCATTAAAATTATCATCAAATCTATAATAGAACTCAATTGTATTTTAAAAATGCCATCAATTACTTCTTAATAAGTATTGCAGTATTTGGGGCAATTGTAGAAGCAGAAATATTTTATATGATGATGGTTACAATACAGACAATTCTCGACTTACATCCATTTGTTTAGCAATAGTTCGAAGTTCTGACAGTGCTAAAAAACTGACTTACAACCAGCCCTCACATCCTCACAACTGTTGCAGCATCCCCATAGTTACATGAATGCAATCCATGCACATGGCAATCAGCTTGCATTTAAAACAAATGCAGCATCCTGGGTTCACTTCATTGTGATTTGCGATTTTCTTAGCTGGCTTCTGACAAGCAAAGTCAATGGGGAAGCCAAATCGTGATCATGTGTTGTCTTGCTTAATGATCACAGCAAAAAAAGATTGTAAGATTAGGTGCCGTCACATGTTGCGTCGTTTAACAACCGTATCACTTAACAACAAATTTTCCAGTCCCAAGAGTGATTGTAATTCTAGGACTTCTTGTATTAATTCCAGATATGAACTGCATAATAAAGATATCTGGCACAGAGGCACTATCCACAATTGCTGCTTTCATAACCTGGTGGTCTCTAAATATTTCTAAATATTGAGTGGTCTCCCAGCATTCTCAGCCTGCAGATAACAGACTGCAATAAAGAATTAATACCACAAAGAAATGATGACTACCGTATACAGATACATACTCAAGAATTGGAGTCTTTACTTCAAATCCATACAAGATATATTGCCATATTTTATGGCAGCTATCCTCAACCTAAATTCAAGCCAAAATATTTCTAATTTTAATAATTCTTTATCCTGGAAAAAATAAACCCTCAAGGATTATGAAATTGTACATAAAGAGATAGTGTTACTTGCAGGATAGTTTGGGACTGGATAAGGCTTTCTGGATATTAAAGACCTTACATATATCTGAGACATGAGACACCGGAAAACGGCTCTGTCCATGCTGGACTATGCAAAGCACAGGATTGTATTTGATAATACTTTTTATTATGGTCATAAAGTAAAAAAAAAAACAAAACAAAAAGCAAAGTGAAAATAACATTTTGCTCATGGCAGGGCAGACTTTACCTTCTTAACAAGTTTAGAAACACCTAAGTTCTCAAAATTGTCCTTTTGTTGAATAAGTAATTTAAAATAAAATATAAAAAATAAGAAAAAAGAGTCAGTGTGGTCCAGTAGTTAAGGCACCAGGTTAGAAGCAGGAGATTGTGAGTTCTAGTCCCATCTTAGCCATGAAAGCCAACTGGGTGATTTTGGGTCAGTCACATTCTCTCTCAGCCCAACCCACCTCACAGGGTTTTTGTTGTTGTGGGGAAAACAGGAGGAAGGAGATGCATTGGATATGTTCACTGCCTTGGGTTGTTTGTGAAAATAATAAAAGTAGGATCCAAATAAATAAAAATTAAATAAATAAATACAAATAAAGCAAAGCAGACTGCCCTCAGAATTTAGAAAGAAGAGTCGCTTTAGAACTGAGCTGTACTGCAGTTACTACCACTGCACCATAGAAACAATGTCATTTAGCATGGGAGATTTGTCCTACACTTCTCTTCCAATTGTGGGAAAGCACCAAAATGGTCCAAGAATAAGGGTCCTCTAACTTTTAGAACAGTAATCCTGTTTGGAAAATGGTTGATTTCAAATTTGGGAACTCATTAATAAATAAATACATCTCATAATCCAACTGGTGTTCTACATCTAGAATGCTTTGTTTCAAATTTACGCTGGCCTGTTCTAACTTCAATGGCAGAAGAATATCCCAGAAAAAGCCATAAAAGTGTAATTTCCTAAAAATGATTCCAAGAGGAATCAAAATTGTCTTCTATGGGCCCAGTCTACCTCAGTTATGTAATAATGTCAACCAGAAATAATCCAGAAGCTTTATTTGACCTTAATGGTCCCTGCTTGTCACTGAAGCATCATAGCCAGGACCCAATGAGGGAGCAGGAAAATATTTGTCAGGACTTTAGATTGGATTTTTTCTAAGATTGCCATCTCAGGATATGAATATCCTAATTCCACCCTATATAATAACTGGGCATGAGTCTTAGCTGCAAATAATATAATTCCACAGCAGACAGAATTAATTTTATATAGTTTAGGATGATCTCTGTGCCCTTTGGCACACATATTAGCAATAGGCATTTGGAATTCCAGAAC